AAATCGAACAAAGAGCAGAAAAGTGATTGCTGCAAGACCAAAAGTTAATTTTCGACAACACCCTGTAAATAGAAAAGATGTCCAACAATTAAACAAACCTTTTCGAGTTATTTGTTTTACCGTTGAACTTTTGGTGTTGGGATCCTAGGAGTATGCTGAACTTTCCAAAATTTTGCATCTTCATTTTCCACCCCGTAGAAAATTTCTGTGAGATGCTTAACTTTTATCAAAACATTCCCAATAAAAAACCAATCTAGAGAAATAATGCTAAGAAACCAAATCATTTGAAGCAATCAGAATCTATGCAGCTCCAAAATTGGCACAAATTGAGATGGCAATGTTAAGTTTGTTGAGCAGCTTATTACTATTATATTTAAATCGGTCGGTACAATTTTATTGATTAATTTGAAAGTTCGCTTTTTAAAAACAATTTATTTCCAAATTAATACAACCAATAGATTTTAGTTGTAACCGAAGATTAACGATGACTTATGACTCGTAGACCGTAAATCTTAAGAATTAATATCTATAGACTGAAGACTAGCTGAGACTCAATTCTTATGACTTCTGACCAAACATCTAATTACTGAATTATCGTTTCTGCTGTGGCTACTTTTATAGTTAAATCATGCTGATCATAGCAGAAACGATACTACGCCTTATTTGAAAATAATAGTCGGCATAAGAGACCATATAATTCTACGCTTTGCCTTTCAACGCCAAAAATAGGAGACCATATTTGTAAAGATCTTCATCGATAAAGTTAAAGTAGATAAGAGACCCTAAAATTGATCTGGCATTTTGGGTCAAAGAATATGTGGTTTAATTGGAAAAAGCTTTTTGTTTTTTATCTCATCTTTCAATTTTATTGCTGTCACAACTGCAATATTACAGTTTCCATACAATTTCTAGTAAACATTTTCGATTGCCTGGTCAAAAGTCCTCCCAAATATTGGCCATTAAGTAATCTCGGTTTCAGATTGTAGTCCCCAATCTACTAGTGCTAGTTACAGCCAATCAATGCATCAATAGAATGAATGGGTAGATAATTTACCAATCACGCAGTACATTAATAAAGCCAAAACGATGTCGCAAGTGCACCTAGTACAAATTGCATAACAAATATTTCAATTCGAAATTCCATGCAAAATCTGTAACAGAGCTAAAGCTCTTCTGTGGGTGTATTGCATATTATTTAATACGTTCGGCTCATTTTGGAGCCTTTAGAATCCACCGCACGGAAGGATTGAGATAATAACTACAATTAGTTACGGGTTATCTGTTTTGGGTACCATGCTTTATTTGATGCAGTAAAACAGAGTTTCCGGTCTGCTCAAATGCTCTCATGAAATGTATGTACGCGGAATCGACCAAATTTTTTGTTTATTCAAGATGCTTGAAGTCGAAATACATAAATTGTTCGCATTCGATTGAGTTATTTTTAACACATTAATTTTTCATATAAATTGTGGCCCAACGAAGATTTAATCACTATCGGTAAAAAAATGACATTTTCTTCATCGGGGTAACATCAAGTCCCTAGCAACTCGAGGTTGTTTTGATAATTATAATTTCACATTGATTAAAATTTAGTGATTTTTGTTTTTTCAAACATTTAACTTTTAAAATTTGACTAACGTGTTGATGATGAATAACTTGGACTATGACTCTTTCCTATCTAATAAATTGGCTATAAAAATATATATTCTAGTATTAACGACCAGAGTTAACAAGTC